TATATATATATTTATTAAAATGTTTTTCCCCTGATTTTTGCATGTACATAAGAGACATTTGAAATAAATTCTCACATGCCTGATAGTGTTCATACAAACCAAAGGCAACAAAAAACCCACAAACATTTCAGAAATCTTGGTTTTTTATTATCATTGCAGGTCATATTTGGACCATGCGGAACCAGAGCCTGGACACACCTGAATCTGGCATAAGCTCTCTCTTTTTCTTTCTTTTTTAACACAATTCATAGCTCATCAATTTCAATTCATTTCTGGCTTTAAGGCTACAAAAACAGTGTTGGGATTTTGTCACTCATCCAGGGAATAAGTTGTGGATCAAAAGAAAAGTAGGTAAGACTGCCCAAGGTATGGCTCCATTTGGACATTCTTAAATTAAGGGGAAAAAAAAACCAAACAAACCAAACAGAGGACAGAACATATAACTATTTTAACATAGAGGTAGATACTTTGAAAAGACACATACTTCTGCACTTACTAACACCAGAACAGTGTGATTTTTTTTTTTTATAAGTTTACAATTAACATTCTCAGAGATTCTTACCTGTACAAAGGTATCTATAGAGACATTCAATGGTTGAAAGTAAACTCCTTGGCACAATATAGCCAAAAACAGCCACCCAGTGTTTTCTGTAACACTTCAGCAAGTTTGCTAATGTCCATGGTGGCTTCAGATACAGTATCTGAAAGATAATATGTTATAAATTCAAAGGCTGATTTCCATATAGACATAATCCTATACATTTAGTAGCAGCTCTATTCTTCAATAATATTATGATTTGTGCTTGCTTAAGTAAAATTTCAATGATTCCTCAGAAATAAGCTATATTCAAATTTAACAAGTTTATTATTAGAAAAGATTTGATTCAGCAGCAGCATGGATTAAACAGTGATGTTCATGTAGAAGCATTTAGTGTACAATCATTTTCATGATTTTTGGTTCCCCTTTCCTTGAAAGCTCCGAATACTCATGTTATCTCTTGAAGTGATTTAACATGGTATTTGTGTACAAAAGTCAGAACAGTAAATATGCCTTTGATTTTCTAGTATTGTTAAAAAGCAAAATTAAACATACTTTTCCTAGCTGTGACTATATATACATGAAGCAATATAAACATATTGCAACAAAATTGAAATTTATTAATACCAAGTGAAAACAGAGCTTGAAAAGATCCTAACAGAATTTTTCTAAGATAATCAGAAGCGCCCAAAAGCTTAACAGCTAATCAAAGTTCTATCTTGTGGAACAACAGTCATTCCATGTAAATGATTTTTTTTTTTTTTTTTTTTTTTTTTTTTAAAAACATGTATAATGTTTTTTTTTTTTTTTTTTTTTTTTTTTTAAACAAAAGCCACAGGGGCTTATCTACAATAAATTTAAACTTCTAGCTAACTCCTAACAGCTATAAGATGGAATCTAAACCAAAGCATGGATAATTTCAAAGTGCCTTTTACATGAGTATTTTTGAATACAATACTTTTGTTTGGAGGTTCTCGTTAACACACTTGTAATTCTGTATCTGCATTGTAACTAATTTTGCTGCGAACAGTTTTATCTATGTGGTATCTAAAAATACAGGTTCCAATGCGGAAGAAGTGCCTAAACCAACAGTGCCTCAATATTATATAAAACGTGATGGAATAACTTCTTGAAGGACATATTTACAATGCAGTGACTTAACCATACTAAAAAAGCCAAAATAGAAATTTAATACAGCTAATAAAAAGATTTCTGAAAATTCACACTGAACAGCCAGCATCTTTATTACAATATTATTAAAAGACTATTATACTCTGCAGTCATTACTGGTCAAATAGAATAATCTTGTTATAGAAAGAAATAGTAAAACTGATCACTGAGCTGTTCACTATCACTGAACCGGTATGTTAGTGAACTAGATGATTTAACTGTTTGGCTTAGCATGGGTATCAATATCATTAAAATACCAACAACACTCAAACCTCTTAATACTTAAAATAGATGACATATGAAACCACCTCCATCCATAGGTTTCCAAACGCAATTTTCATTTCAGTCTCCAGAATACAAGATAAAGCTTCTCCTAAGTTCTTTTCAAGGTCTGGAAGTATATCTGGGCATCGTGCAGTAAGACTAGAATCACCTCTTGCTGTTTTCTTGAGTTCTGTATCTGTCAAGACAATGATAACAGAAGATACTTATTGCAACTGTTTCTGTATCTAATTTATGTTGATAGTACACAAATAACTTACACCCATAAAGGTAGACTGCACTTTATGTTATAAAGCAGATGGTCTACATCAAATCAGGTTTCAAGTATTTCTAGTTATACTCACCTGTACTGTGGGTAAATTTCATTATGAGCTACTAACCAAGAAGATTAATTTCCCAAGAGCTTTATTCATTTGTGACCTTACTCTACATTTCTTTTTTCCTTAAATAACTTTGACTACATACAGCCAGTGGGGTTATCAGTGAGTGTAAGATCACTTCTTAATACTGTAAGCTGAATTTCTATCTTTGGAAAAATGAACAACCAAAGAATCAAGTTCTACTGTTGGAGGTAAAGATATTACCAAAAAATGCAAGGAGTGATCTTACCATATTGAATTTTGTAACTACTAAGAATAGGATCAGGAAAAAACTCTTTTCAGACCTAAAAAGTTCAGGACACCTTTTAAATTACTATGAACTCAGGAAATTCATGCTGTTTTTTATGTAAAACAGAAGTATATCCTATTTGAATTTCCCAGAACTCTAAGAGACAGATATGTTAATAAAGGCCTCCAACTTTCAGAAAACAATTTATCTTTGAAAATAAAAAATTTGCCCCAAACAAAAAGCATGACGAAGATTCGACATATATAAAAACTGAAGATGCAGTAGAGACTATTCTTCTTCTACACCGATTATTACGTGTCTCAAAACACAGCATACACATACATGCACATTAAACAAACTTACCACATTTTGACTGTTGTAACTCAATACAGTTCTGCTGCATGTTTACATTCAGATTCTGTAGAGCAGTAACCAAATCAGCTTTGCAGAATGCCTTGACCTCACTCACAGTGGCTTTATTACATAAATTTTTATCATCCCTAGGAAAAGAGAATTAATTGTTGACGTAACATTGACATTACATTAAAAGAAGCACACTAAGAAGATTGTCTTTGGTAAGCTTATTTTGTGAGCTTCATTATATACAAAGTTTTCTTTCTCAAGCAACTAGAAGCAGTTCAAAAAATTAAACCAGAAAATTAACTTAAGCATCTATTCTGAGGAAAAAAAAAATAAAAATAGAATAATACTGAAAAATATTTCCAGCTCTACACTGCTTCAAGAAAAAAAACAGCTATAAATACTACAGCAATGATGCTGAGTTGCTATAAACTTCAAATCCAAACAAAGCAATAATTCTGAGACAGAAATATCTTATACAATTGCTATATTAAATTCTTATTTTCAACACCATTTTTTACTGTTCTACTGGTAGAATCATTGTCCAGATGCCACTCTGAGGTATACACTTCTCCAGCAATAGTACTACAAAGATGCAGTATGAAGTTGGATCCTAGCACTTTCTCAAAAATTCCCACTGCTTATGTTGATAAAAGGTATTTTCACATGAAAAGCACATCTGAAGTCACCTCTCAGTCTTTACTCAGAGAAACCTAAAATCATTATCAACAGCCCTACCAGTGCTGTGACTGAGATAGTATTTTCACCAGCAAACTGATCCACGTTAACTTACACTGATGCATAGTGTCTTAACCCTATTTAGCGAAACTATGCAGGAAATGGTTCTAGCAAAGACCAAAGCTCTTTACAGTAGCCGTCAAGAGAATATTAGCCCTTGAAAAACTAGCTTCACGTGACTTGCATAAAATTGAGAATCAATACTCAGAAGTCAGCTGTTATCCTCACAAAATAAGAACAGAGGCCATCTTCCTTCTTTCTAAGATTAACCCCTGACAATGGTTATCACTGTTCCTAAACAGGTAAGCAGGAAGAAAGTATCTAACTGGATTTCAATTATTAACAGAAATACTTTTTTTCCATTTTGTAACTCCAGTAATATTTTTATGAGAAACTGGAATAAAATCTGAGAAGGCTATGCTTTACAAAGATTCAAAATCGAATATTGAATAAACTTAATTCTACTTCAGGCCTCAAGCACATGAAGATGATTAAGCCTACGATCTTTTTATTATATCCTTCTACTCCAGCTTTTAAGAGGGTGATTGCTCTTCAAAAAGCTCACTTCAGAAACAGCTCTTCATTTTAAGTTATAATTTGAAAATAGTGTATTTGGCATGAGACTAGCTTCCACCTCGTAAGAGACCTAAAACCACACAGGAACTCACGTGCAGAGTATGACAACAGCTTGAGGAAAGAGGTTCTGATACTGCAGACAACATTGTAAAACACGATCGTCATTGTTCTCATCACTCAGGCCATCTGCAAATTTAGTTAAAAATGTGCTGAATGTTGAGAAGAAACTCAACATAAGCAATTCTTCAATGTAGTCACGGTACTGTTTATAAATTTAATAGTCCCCAAACAAGGATGGAGAAGTGTAATCTAAACACAAATCTAAGTTTTGAATTCTTAGGTACTACTCCACTTAAAAATGCTATGCTTTTGCCAGAAAAGGTCACGTGAGCCACATGTAAATTTAAGTATGTTAGATTTTGTGATGACCAAGTCAAGCAAAAGCACACAACATATCCTTAGCTCATAAATAACAGTAATTAGATGAATTTTCATTAAGTAATACCCTAGTAACCAACAGATGTAGCTGGAAGTGAGAAACAACTGATAAAACAATAATGAACAAAGCACTAATGTGAATAAGGTATTTGCACACTATAGCCCTGAATATGCTCTGAAGGCTTCTGTAAACTATTACCTAATTTTAGTAGCAAACTGCAGAGTGAAGACTTCATTAAACTCAAAATTTAGTGCTAAGGTTCACACCAGGTGAACTGCAAGGATTAAGTACCCAAAACAAATTGATTGCACATATATTACATATTTTTTGAGAAGCAAGCTGCATGGATTGCCCCCACAATTTTGAATCTTGGTTTTTGAGACACATGTAGATGAACTGGACTGCAGGGATAGCTTTGTCCCGAACATGCTGCAACATTCTCCCCTTCTTCAAGTTGTCCAACTCTTGCAGAACAACCCAGGGAATTATTAATGCAAGTCTTCCAACGCCTGGAAGGAAAAAAAAAAAAAATAAATGAAAAAAGAACACAACCAACCAAAAACCAAATACATTTTAAACAGCCACTCAAATTACTACAGATAGTTAGATAATTTTTAATTCAAACATTGTATTTACATTAAGTTCACACTTTTTTTGCCAGTAGTTTTCATATTGCATGCTCAGGAGTATTTAGCATTAAAAAAATTAACAACTGAGAAAGGCCAAGTTCCCTCTTTCTAGTCTAAACTCAAACTGACACTACATTGGTTACATGTAAAAATTACAGTATTAGGCAAACAAAAGGCAGATATGATTTTAATCAAGAGTGCCTTGACAAAAGTGTGTAGCAATATTATATAACATTTGCAGCAATTATCATCTTGTCACAAACCAGCTGTAAAATGGTAAAACAAGGTGACAGCAGCTGAAGTAACAGGCTGAAAATACCTGAATGACCATGACAGTCACTGTGCCAAAAAGATCATCAAATAAAAGGAGCAACAGCTTTTGCTGATTTGCCAACCAGCATTCCTAAGACAGGAAAAGGCAGCATGGATATTGGACCATGGTTTTATTTGTATGTAAGTATGGTCTGAACTTTAAAACTATTATATATGAAACACATGATATATTTCAGAAATTTAATGACTGTTCTATTGGTCCATTCAGGACAAATACTTAACCTGTTTTCCTTCTCATACACAATAACACATCTGCTTTGTAATAGAAAGTTCAGGAATCAGCAACCTTCTAAATATAATGGGTCTGGAGCAGGACCAGAAACTGGGAGCTGCAATAGTTTAAAAAGGCATTCCAGTGTACACAATGCAACACTACTCCTAATATAGGAAGGCAAAATACAGTAAGATACAGTCTTGAAAATTACTTAGGCCTTTATTAACGTTATTTTCCAGGTGGCCAGAATACTTAGGCCTTTATTAACGTTATTTTCCAGGTGGCCAGAATAAGTGTACTCATTAACTGAAAGCATCGAAGAACCTTACGTATTCTGATAGATTCCAAATATATCTACCAACAACTGACACGCAGGATCCTAACCCTGCTAACATTAAATCAGTAAAAGCTGAACAACATATTAAAGCCAAACATTTCAGCCAGGGTCTGCAATCTGAATTCCTGAGCAATATATTTTGTGAATTCTGTGACCTTTACAAGACAAAAATAAAAAAAATAAAGAGCTGACTACTTATCAGATTTTTAGAAAATTTAAAAGAGTAGAAAACATGATTACCACTAGTGGACTAAATGCTTAAAAGTATGTTTTTACAATAGGCAAGACTTACCTCTAAGAACTCGTACATGTTCCTGGGAACATTGACCATGATTCTCTGTAGGCATGCAGGTATACGCATAGTAGGTTTTACTTTCATAGCTGAACTTTCCTTAAGAGGCAGATTATTTGGGTTCAGAGAACTGCGTCTTAGGTGTAAACTTTCTGCCTCTCTATGAAACCTCCTGCCTTTTTAAGGAGCCCAGCTTAGTTTTGCTTCACAAAGCTTGAAGTTCGTACAACATCTCTATTTTCTTAGAATGACTTATTGTTCACCATGTACTCACGTACCTGGTATATCCTCACATTTCAGGGATCTGACAAACTCAAGGTGACTAATCATTATATTTGTGTCAATCACCACTAGTACGTTCAAACCAGAAGTAAAAGCCTCTGGGGAAAAAAGGAAAAGAAGTTGAGGGGAAATAAATAAATGAACAAACAGTTGTGCACTCTCTATTCAGAACATTAACTAGTTGCAACTAGATACCAAAGAACACTGACCCATGACATACCAGCAGAAATGTTTAAATCCTGCTCTGGAAGATCTATTTCCATACTCGTAAGTTCTCCACAAGTCTGTACTACAGGCAGCACCATCCTCTTCTGAACACGGGCAACATGCAAATCTTCAACTATCTGCATCTACAATGAAAACAATCTGCATCAATTTTAAGTAATCCCTTATGAATTGTTCCCAAAAAAGATACTTTCACATGAATCCTGTTAACACCAACTAAAAATGAAGCATGAAAAATTTGAAATTGGTACAGCAAATGTAAAGTCATGAGAACCTTCTGCATACCCTCTGCTGTAAGAAGCCCACAAAAGAAATACAGCCTAGAAAGAAGATTTGTTTATGACATTTGTGCCTAGTACCCAAAAACTTTTTCCATTTTTGCTTCATAGACTGCAAGTTTCCTGACTGGCACTTCTTAGAAAATGTTTCTTTTCCAACTTGAAAATTGTAAGATAGAAAATGACAGAGATGCAAGTAACTATGATGGCGCCCTACATTGCAAAGAATAACAGAAATCCAATCTTCTATCTCAGAAAGTTCCTGATGAGTTTGTTTAGTATTTGAAAAAAAACCACTCCATTTTTTTTTGAAGTATAGATTATAACACAACAATGAAAAATACTAGGAAAGGTCATGGAATTGTCTGGCTATGCAACCTCAGTGCCATGAGTTTTTAACACAACATAGAAGTGCTAAAGTATTGCTAACCTCTTCGTCTGTTTCAGGGATCTGACTGTGTTGAAGAGGTGGAAAGACTTCAAAGCTCTCCTGGAATTAAAAAAAAATAAATAAACACCAAGAACACAAAATATCAAGGAAGAGTGAAGAACAAACAATGTCTACGTCAACGAGTTTCGAAATAGAGCTCTTCAGAGTTAAGCAAGTACAGCACTAACCTTTTGGACGGACTTTGTGTCCTCACCTTCTTGGTAGGAGTCAGAT